GATCTTTTTCTTCGGTACGTTAAATAAATCATCCTCTCTTTTATACTCACATTTCTTAGACATTCAAGGTGACAACAATTACACCTTACCCTCTGCATCGTTAATTCATATTAACGTTGGGAGCATCAATTTTAGTTATAATCCGTTATTGCTCCGTTATTTCTCTGAAACGACCGACTCGAAGCCGCAAAGGCACTTTATATATCGCAAGGTTACCCGCTCGCTCAAAGCGATCGCGGGTTTAAAGCTTTATTTTCCCCCGTCGAGGGAAGCATAAGGTAGGTTCTTCCTCCTCGACTTCCTCGTGCATAGACGAGCACGGCGATCCGGAGACGCGCGGACAACGCGGCGTTTTCTCTTTCCCTCCTGCTCCCTCCCGCCCCCTTTCTCTCCCTCTCTCTCTTTCTCTCTCTCTCGCTCTCTGTGCGACCAACGATCGTGGGAAGTCTCACCTGCGACCTCGTCTCCGGCGAATCAATATTATACGAAAGCATGCGAGCACAGTCTATGTACCGCGGATAATGCCGAAGACGAGTTCCTCGTCAAAGCAAAGACGAGAGGAAGTTGTGGCCGCCTGTTGTCCCTCTCGAATGATGAAGAAGCCGAGACTGAAGTTTCATCCGTCAAGAGATCGCGTTAGAAATTCATCAACGAGTCACCGTTCGCCTCTTCGCGAGCCGAGTTTCACGAGAAGATACCGAAGCGGACCTCAGTAGAGGTTGAACTGAATACTCGATTTAAATAAAGCGTCGTGTAAGGACTCGCCAGAAGGAAATATTTCTTTGTTTTTAGATATTTCTCCTCTCAGCGCACATGAGCAGCCAATGATGAACTGGGAAATTTAATCCAACCGGTCAGCCTAACCACTAGATTTCGACTGTGAACCGACTGGAAAATACAGTTCTGACCGAGGAGGCTCGAGGTAGATTTTCACGCGATTTCCCGGTTATACGAGGGCTGGAGAGCTCGTCTTCTCCGCGTCTGCAAACTCGTTCCCAGTTACATTCCCATAATGGCAAGTTTCAACAATAATTTGATGCACATGTTGCATTCGCGCGTGCACACGCACACGTGTTCTCCCCTCCTCCAGGAGATGATCCTTAACGGAGGATCTATTGTTGCGGCATTAGGCGCATCGCCCGGCATCGTCCGATGTAAAATATAAACTAATAGGATTTCATTGAGAAGGTTACAGGCGAGTTTTTACGGGCGGATTGAACGGCGGATTTTCAATTCTTATCTCGGGCCGAGGCTGAGTTTGCAGCGCGCTGCGATTTTATCAATTCTGCCAGCAGGCAATTTCTTCAATTCGCTCCGAATATCGGAGAATTCGGATCTCAAGCTTGGTTTGAGCCTAAACCGGCCAAAACGCCGGTGAACGCGCAAACATTCTATCTTGGCCCTAAATCGTTAATTCTAATTAATTTTGTGGCGTTGGTCGCGCACAAATGTAACGATTAAAATCGATACTCAGCTGCAATTTCCATTGTACGGTAAGCAACGATCAGAAGAGAATTTGATATTCGAGAGGTGTGGAGAGAAAGGAAATGTAAATGTTATTATAATTTAATGATGCGTATCAACTGCTTCCTGTGAGAACAACGGTCAACGTCGCGGAAAATAATTATGCGATTATGGTAAAAATAATTATAATTATATTGACATTCACCATTTCTTTTCTCAGTGTAGGACGACGAGCAAACGACAGGGCGAAATAATTGTAAGAGATTTTATCGGCGGAGAGGTGAACGAGAGGGTGTTATTCGTCGTGATATGGGGGAACGTATTTATGATCGGGCTTAAGTCCGGAGTGCGGGGAGATAATTGGAATATAATAAAGTTCAGGGGGCACGGGGGGGTTGAAAAAACGATGCAACGAGCGCGAAAGCGGGCGCGTGAGTGCTCGGGGGGGGACAATTCGTGCGGACTTTAACGACCCACTCGGAGGATGCAGCTGTCTAGGTATTCGCGTGCTCCGGTTTTGCTCCCCGAGGGCGAGCCGCAGGGTGGATGGATGCTCTCTTTGACTCAACTCCGCATCGTGCGCAGGTTGTCTCTCTTCGTCTCTTCGCCTCATTCATACTAGTCAAGGAAAGAGCCCGGCGTAGAGTAATTTCCTTCAATGTAGGCTCTATATTTTTCTATATTATTATTATCTCATTCTTTTCTTGATATTCTAAGAACATTTTTGTAATGTGCCAAGAATATGATGTGAAACGGACATATAACATTCTTAGAATACATTATAAGAATATTATTTTAATATTGAATAATATTTATATAATATTCTAGCAATATTACGCGCTTATAGGGTGTATCTGGTAAAAAATTACTAGAAACTCCTTCACAGTTATACGTGGCGGAGCGATCCTTTTCCTCTCTCTCGAAAAGGGACACGCGTAATGGATATCGCGGAGAATACGAGAGGGGGAGGGGGAAGGCCCCGATATTATATCTCCATCCACGCTGTTACATCGCCGTGTTACGTAGCGTAACGCACGAGTCGGGTGACCATTATTGCGATACACGAGAATCGAGAATTAATGCTTTATTTGTGCGTCACTCCAGCTGCGAGGATCAACACAAGTGCACACCCCTCGCGCGACAAGAGGGTACACTTAATGCGTCTCCCTGGGTTGGGGAGGGGCCGGATTCTATGGTTTGCTAATTTTCACGGGATCGCCGTACCGTGACGTCAGGGACAGATTAGGTTCAATGCGGAACACCAAGCTTTCGCGCCTCTCGATAACCGCACGATCCGATGTGTCGTCGATCACGGTTACGGCTAAATTATGCATTCATTCCACTTCTTTTCACAGACTTGCCCTCTTATGTTCGAACAAATTATAATTACCACGCTGAAGGAAGTACCGCTAAAATTCTCGTCATTCTCAGCTTGATTTTCTCCTAATCTTAACTCGGAAAATAATAATGGTAATGTAACATAATAATACACGAATAGCACATATGTAATTATTTTGCATTGATCTTTATAAGTTACAAAGATCAGTCGAAATTAGCACTACTTTTGCAAAAAGATATTTATGCCGGGATGAAAATGGCAATGAATATACCTTCGAAATGCCTCGAACGTTATTTTACTTATCTACATCAAAGGGGTGGATATCGTTTATCATTTATTCGACTCACAAATGAGATTGTGCGGAAGTGGAAGGCTGCGCGTACGAAGAGTCGATCGTCGGAAGAAAGAGAAGAAAAATCGCTCCGATCGAGCGCGCGCGAGCGAACGATAAGGACAGGTGTATCGACACACCTGCGTCAACCTAGATAAGTTCTCTCTCTCTCTCCCTCTCAGCGGGCACTTTAGACACCGCATTTTCTAAATCCTCTCGTAAATATATTCCCTCCCGAGAATTCAATAGTCCGATAAAGACTACTGCGATACACATCAGCGATATCTCCGTCTATCGCGTGTTATCGTTTGTTCTTATCGAAATTCGGCGATCGATCGGCGCGATAGGCCGTGAGTACTGCAACCTCCTCCCCCGGGGGTGCCACGAAATCGTCCCTAATTGTCCACAAATCGAGTGCCACCCTCGATTTCCCGAACCGTTAAATACAGCCATCCCGGCGGCGGTTCAGCCGTGCGTGGGGGGGGAGAGGCCGCCTCTGTGTTCCGCCGGAGAGCCCCCCTTTCGCGTCGAGAGAGGGTTCACCGAGCCCCCCGTACTAGAATATGGATTCAATTACACCTCATTGTGCCGCGGTGTCTATAAACAACGCTGTTTTCACAGCTGATAGCGGGCCCGCCGCTGCGGGTCGTGCACTCCGTATTTCCCGGCCGAGCGGCCGACGGATCTCCCTGAATTTCAAGATAATGCTGACTGCGGACCGTCCGTCGACCGTTCCTCGGCGTCTCCTCCTAAACTCAATCGTTTCGATTTAACGTTTCTCGCTTGCCGGGGTGGCGACGCGAGTTGGCAAAATTTAGCCGCATCTCGCAAAGAATTGCTTCTCTTTCATGAAACTCTTCCGCCGCCGATTCATACATTTCGAGCGTTGTTAAGCCTTCTCGAACATTCGGCAGGGTGAACTTGAAAACGGGGAGAGGGATTCTGAACGAGGGAACGAGGTACTCTCTCCGGCAACACGCGAGATCGCGAAGTCCGCTTATCTTCCGCATTCAACTCGCGGGCAGAACTTGAAAAGTTCTGTTAATGACGATAATAACGGATAGGCGGAAGGACGAGGTGAAAGCGAAAGAGGCGAAGAGGGCCGGGCGTGTTCCAGCACCGTCGGGCACCGCCGGGCGGACAACGAGGAGGGAACGAGGAGGATATATGCCTCGTGAGAAGACTCGCAGCCGTCGACGCCATTATCCCTGAGTCGCTGGGCGCCGCGACGCCGCAATATCGACGTACCGCCCCGACGTATCGCGCCTCTCCCTCTGTTTCCTGCTCTCTTTCTCTCCTTACCCTCCTCCCTCTTTCTCTTTCTCTCTTTCACGTTTTCTCGCGTTCTCTGTCTCTCTCTCTTTCTCGCCCTCTCCTCTTCTTTCTCTCATTGTTACACCCACCCTCGCAAGAAGCACGTTTTAGGGTGCTTCTCTTGCTCAACCCTTGGGCGGATTCAGCCATCTTGGCACCGTTCCCCCGTTGCGGAATCGTCGGGAGCACGTCTGCGACATGCGGTCAGGATTCGATGACCTGGGGGTCGATTGTACATCTCGAAACTTCACTGTAGTGAGAATTACGAAAGAGGAAATTCATTCCAACTGTTTATCCAATGAAATTATAAGTATTCCAGTAAACTCGCTTTTGTAATTCTCATTATATCTCGAGACACACAATCGGCTCTCTCTAAAAGATCTCGAAGGACCTGCGTGATGAGCGAATGAATGAAGAAAAAGAAAAGAAAACACGAACGAATCCGTTCACTCGGCTTCGTACAGCTTTGAGAACTACTTTTATTTGGCTTTGTTATTCACAGTGGCTGGATAATGATGACGACGGCATCATTCTCGCTTACGTCCCGCGACAATTACGGTATACAAACGGTGCTTATCCCTTATTATCAGTTCGTCTAATTCGATTTCGGGTATCCTATTTACAAGCACGCTCCGCGCGCGGAACGTTTTTCGTAAAAATGTCTCGTAAATACGTGGATACGCGCGCGGTAAGTTCTTCTTCGCGTCCGTCTGATTCGACGCAAGCTCGCCTCCTGCCTCGAGACGAGATCTCGCAAGAATACGCGCGCGAACATGAATGATGATCTGCCGCGCCGAAGACGTCGGAGACGCTTCCTCGACGATGGAAAGGTACAAAGTTACATTTTTGCTTGACGAGAGGTCGAATGACTAGAAACGCTTTTCCTTAGACACTAAATAACACGCGGGGAACGGGGAGAGCCCGAGCGACAGCCGGCGCTCCTCTCGGAGCTGTCACGAGGGAGTTCGGGAACCCCGACGAGCCGTCGACGGGCCGTTGTCGTCGTTTCTATTCGAACGTTGTCCCGTTCTTGGACGTTCGCGGGTCCTCCGGCGTCCAAACTTTCGCGTACATCATACCGTTCGGTGAGATGTCCGACTTCCTGGACCACGAGAGCGAGTGCGAGATGAAGGGGTTCCCACCGCTGCCTGGAAGCCGCAATTCCGCAGAGATTAGCCAACGATCGTCGTCCGGGAGTCGTGTGACTCCTCGAGCCGAAATTTTCATCGTCGATTTCGACGTTCTTAAGAATCATTTTTATGTCTACTCAGCACGGCATATAAACCACAAATGAGAACCTACTTTGATGATACTGACTTTCATGAAGTTCTCTCTTGAATCTTCAGTTTTAGAGCCTTTAAATTTAAGACAGAATTTAATTTTAATTTTAATTTAATTTAATTTGATTTATATTTAATTTAAATTGAATAATAAGTCGAATCTTTAATTTTAATACAATCCCGAACAATCCATTTTGCTGAAAAAGCCGAGACGGAAATTTAAAGTGTCATAAAGTTAAAGTAGGATGGAACAGGTTAAAAACGGGCATTACACAAGGAGTAAAAGCAGGGAAATATTTTTGTAAGAAAATTTCACGAAAGACCACTCCTTCTTAGTCTAATCATTTTCGTGAGAATATTTTTGCAAGGATTTGTCGCGAACTACAACTACGCTCTATGTAAGACAGACAGGAAGTTCTCGATATCGCTGTATATATATTTTAAATTATAAATATCTAATATATTCAAAATGATATATTATACAGTATTCACTTATGTAGAAATTTTTACATATATACAATCACATCTCTAATTTTACCCTATTTTAACGATTTTTAATCCCCTCTAATTTCTTTTCAAAATGTTTAAAAGTGGAACTAATAGTCGAACCAACTGAAAATGTTTGCACACGGTTGAATCAGTCGGTGGAAGAGAGTTTGATTAAATTTGTCTGGCAACGAGAAAATCAAGCTCGTTTTGGTCGAAGGAAACGGAATTTCCGATGATAAGAAGAAATCAGTCGGGCTCGTCATACGAAGCAAATCGAGAACTACCTGTGCAGGTGGTAATTAAAATTGGCCTCACCACGGACTATGATCTTCTTAGAGTCGTCTCGGCTGGAACACCTCGTGAGACCGTTGTTCCCGGTCAGCGGGTCGTTACCCTTGTCGGCCCTGACGAGCTCGTTGAGGAAGTTTATGTAACCGATGGCGAGCTTCAGCGTGTCGACCTTCGACAGCCTCTTCTCGTACGGTAATGTCGGTATGTGGGCCCTCAGGCCCTCGAAAGCGTCGTTTATGTTCTGCATGCGCCGCCGTTCCCGCATATTCGCGGCCTGTCGTTGCTGCACCTGCACCTGTCGCGGGCATTTTCCCGACGTACCGCTACGCCGGTTACCCCGACTTCGTCTACGGGCAGAAGAGAGAGCGAATGGATATACTTACACGCTTGTGTTTCAGCGGGTCAGGGAAAAAAAAGGAGGACGCACAGTCTGGTGCGTCTTTGCGCGCGACGGCTATATTTTCGGAACGGGAGGACATCTCAGAGGAAGAGAGATCTTTTGCTTTTCTCTTTCTTCTATATCCTTCCGCTTGATGCATTTTACCGGTGCACTTATTTAATGTAATCTTACGATTTAATTTAATTTTTCAAGGACATATTTATATACATATTTATATAGATGTATATGTATGTATATTTCATTTATATATAGTTTTCTACATTATTATTGTTTGATTCTTTTCTTGATATTCTGAAGAACATTTTTATAATATGCCAAGAATATTATGTGAAGCGGACATATAACATCGACAGAGCGTTCCCATAAAATATTCAAAGATATCACACGCAACATTCCTGGAATATTACAAGAATATTATTTTAACATTCAATCATACTCGTGCAATGTTCTAGGAATATTACGCGAGCTTATAAGGCCGGTGGTGGTCACTCACTCTCTCGCGTGGTTCTCCTGATCGCTGCTGTAGACGCTCTCGTTGTCGCTGCTGTTCTCGTCGTACAGGTAGTGCTCGCTGCCGCTGGTGCTACCGGTGCTACCGGACGGATGCGACGGCAGTTGCGACGGTATCGCCGGCAAGGTCGCCGTGGTGGGCACGCCGCAGTGCGGTGGCAATGCCGGGATCGCCGGGTTCCCGAGGAAGCTGTGCGCCTCGTACAGGTAGTGCCGGCTCATCATGTCCCGCTCGAGATGGTCCATGGAATACATCACGGCACCGGGCTCACCGAGAAACGGATTCACCTTCCGATTCGACTCGTCGTTCACAACCGAAGTCTCACCGATCTCGCGTGACAAAACGCGAAATTCCAATCCCTTGCTGTGCCTTTGCGATATCAAAGGAGAGTCAGATGCGCCCTAAGATCCTTCCCTCTTTTTCGAACTGATGCTCGTCAGGTGTTCTCCGTGTGAACGACACGTATCTTCATTTCTTTTTTCCTTCCTATATATTCGGTATGTGTAATTAATTCTCTCGAAGATCGCACGCCGAGAGAGCCGGAGCGCGTGTCATCGATTGATTAATTAGCGAAAATTAACTCGTCAAACGTCACTTATTAATTAACGAAGATCTGACTAGAATATTTGACCAGACGTTGAGAGAGAGAGAGAGAGAGTACGACGCGACTGTAGCGTTTCACCTGGTTCCCCGGATGACGATTAATTAACGACGAATTAATTAATCGTCGTCGTTACGGACGTATCTCGGACTTCTCTCCCGTTGATGTTAACATTGCGTTGCACCGTGCGATGTCGCGTCGGCAACCGAGAAAGTGTGTTCACCGGATCGAGTGCCGAATCACGCGCACTCGTGATCACGTCCGGAGGATCGAGAGAGATAAAATCGACACGCGTGCCGGGCTCACGATCGGCGCGTGCACGGTAATGTCTCTAAACAGCGACACGTGCGGACCTTCCTCGGCTCGGGCACGTGTCGAGATTTGTCGAGGCACTTGTTAGCCAGCGCGCCTCAGCTCTCGTCCCGTGACGCCTCCGAGCGTCCACAGTGCTCTGGCACTTACGACGTCAAGACAAACAGATCCGGATGTCGGCAGGACGCTCGTAATCAGCGGACATCTCGCGGCCTTCGCTTCGTCGAGAACGAGATCGACGATTCTCTCTCTCTCTCTCTCTTCGTCGCGCCCAGGTTTATCGAATTCTCCGATTGTCGAGAGAGGGATCGGATATCCTGCAGAATGACACCCGGGATCACATCCCTCGGATTGCACTTCGCCGTCCTTCGGAATCGCCTTTCGATCGTCGCCGGCGAGTCTCACGATCGGGGATTCACTTTACGGGCTCACCACGGATGTTTCCTTCTCGTCCGAAATTTCTCAGGATCCTCCGCAGGAGTGTTCTGAGTTCCTTTGATTTTACTTCGCGGTTTGCACCGACGATCCCGAATGGATTTCCTCGCGAGTTTGTTTGTTTAATATCGTGAAAATCGGCGATTCGGCTCGCAAATCGCACGGCCAATCGTCTAGATCGATTCACGGAGGCCACGAACGTTCCTTAAGGTTCTTCGGGCTTTTTCCGGGATTCCTCACAGAGTCCTGGATTCCTTGAATTCACTTTGCAACCACACCGACGATCCCGATGTTTCCTCGCAGATTTATTTAAAAACTGGTGATTGCTGGCGATTCGCACGACTAGACGATTAATTTACGAAGTCCGCAGACGCCTTGCGGGGTCCTTCAGGATTTTCTTCGGGATCCTCTAAATAAAATCCAAGGTGCCTTGAATTCACTTTGCAACCGCACCGACGATCCCAATGTCTCTCCGCGAATTTACTCGTCGCGAAAATCGCGCTGTCACTCGCGATATTCACTCAAAGGACACTTTCGCTGTGCGAAATCGGAGAATCCTCGAAGGAAAGGGTGTCCATCGCGATTTCGCCGACGTCGTTATCCGTCCGTCCGTGTCGGAAGTCTCGAGAGAGAGAGAGAGAGAGAGAGAAAGAGAGAGGGAAAGAGAGAGAGCCTTCGCAGCTTCCCGACCGTTCCGATCGTTCAGGTGGCAATCTCTCGCTGAACTAAAATCGAAAAGCGACAGCAAGGCGGAAGCCATCACGGGGTTGAAAACCCAGCCACGACCCCATTCGTCGAGCGGTCGGCCGGCAGAGCCTGCCTACCCCTTCGTTGCTGGGGTAGCGGCGCCGCCTCTTCATCGATCTGATAAGGAACGCTGTTGTTCTCGTTCCTAGATACCGTCCTGGGCCACGCTGCTGCAGCAGAATCGTCGCGGCCAACCGCCAATCGGAAAGCCCACTTTCTCAAAAGTGATCTTCGCAAGAGGGAGAGAGAGAGAAGGTAGCGTGCATCTCTCAAAAATATCGCGGGGTGAACTCGGAAGCCGGAAGAAATTTCGCTTAACTTCGCGGAAGACAAATTTGCCGGCAGTTCGTTTTCCGAGAGAAAATCCGGAGATCCGAGATCGCGCAGAGACGAGTTTCAAGGAAAAAGAGAGAGAGAGAGAGAGAGGTAGAAATTTATTTCATTATTTGGGAAATGATGAAATTACAAGAAAATAAAGTAACGATGTATGCACGGGGAAAAGATTAGCATCGATTCAAGACTCATATTCTCGCATACAAGCAAGAATACATAATCTTATACGAAGGTAAAATTTGCTCTTACCTGGAGAAATTCCATATAATTCCGGTGAAAATAATTTTCATGAATTAAATTGAAATAATATTGAGATAGAAGGAACAACATATATCTCAAGCTAAGAATTGCATCAACTTGGAAATATCGTTCTTTCCATCTATATATTTTTCCCCTTTAATTCGCAAAAATTATTCTTAAATAACAAGAATACGATATATTTTGAGTGGGAACATATCGAATTCCTTCGTGTAAGCGAGTTTTATCTTTATATAAGATTACATATTCTCGCTTCTACGTCAAGTCTTGAATTGATATTAATTTTTTGTCTATGTGCACCTTAGACATGCACAGCTCCGATATCCGCCGAAATTAAGTAGACGCGGCGTTGGACTTCGTGCGGCCACCCTTGACATTTTCGCGCAGAGTTCTCTCATCGACGTCACAGAGGTGTCGTTCGTGCTCGACTAATCATTGGTCTCGTACGTTCGCACAAGGACGCATAATTTTTCAAGTACAGTCTATAGCGACTCGATCAATTCGTAATTAGCCGGCGAACGCAAACGCAAAAGTCCGTCGCAACGGAGAAAACTGGTTACACACTAGGTAAGCGAGCCTACTTACGACGTCATGTCCCAACAAAGGGAGGCATATCGATTCTACTTGCTTTCAAATTCTCGTTAGTCTCGATGCACAAATTCTACCTCGTAATAATAATAATAATAATGCGTACAAATATTCGATCAAATACCAATTGTTTTATTATACAAAGTCGAAGTGATTTTATATAAAAATACGTTTTACACCAAAAAGAAATGTACTAAAATACTAAGTTATTAAGATTTTTTTTTTAATATTTTAAGAACATTTTTATAATATTACGAAATATTACATAACATTCTTAGAATATTATGAGAATATTATATTAATATTTAATAGTATTCATATAATATTTTATGAATATTACGCGCTTATAGAGATATCATTTTTGATCGCTGTATCGTCTGCGTTGTTGGAACCTTCGCTTCCCCCGGCGGGCCGAAGCGAGCAGCGAAGAGCACATCGGCCGGGAATCACGGGGATAAGCGGGTAAGTCTTCGTAATAGAAAAGGAATCGGCCACACGTGCCGGCCACGTGCAACCGCGACAACGTCGCGCAAGGGTTGTTCCTGGGGTTAACCATTTCGGCGACATTTGGCCCCACCAGCCTGGCCTGTAATTATGCGAGCCCGTAACAGGTACGATCTGATTCCCAGCGCGTTATTACGTGCGAGATAATTATATTTAATAATGTATCGCAGTTATACGGCCGCAATATGTTCGCCAATAGCGCGCGCGAGTTATCGACTCACCTCGACCGGACGACGCGGCGACGTTCGCTGTAATTTCCGTGCAAAAGGACTTGTAAGTTGGAACGGATTACCCGTCGTGAAAATAGCCGGCTTGAAAGCACAATAGAACTTGTCCGTGCGACACAATCGTATTTATCGTCGCGATAAGACAAAGAAAGATATTGTGGTACTTGTAACTATAATATACCGCAACTGTACGCCATAGTAAAAGAATTATAGTTATAATTATAGTTATAGTTATAGGCGAGCCATTTTTCTACGAAGGGAAAAATATTATTCTACTTCTAAGAGAAGCGATTACTCAGTTTACTTTCCTACTTTCAAAAGTAATAGTCAGTTTGAAAGTAATATCTTCAACGAAAAATGCTCTTTTTTATCAGACAGTCGCGAAATATACTCATCACAAATTTTAAAAAAGCTCATTATCGCATATTCGAAAAAGGAACTTATATCCTTTCCAAGGATGTTATTTAATTTTATCAAAGAAAAATTAAATTCGGTTTGTTTGAATAAGCACGAACCGAAATTTGTTTAATTTTAAAATTCTTGATTGGGAAATATTAAGCTTACCAGGATTCAGAATATATTTGGAATACTTCTAAGCGTGTAATATTATTTAATATTAAGTAATATTTCTTGAATATTAATAGATATTTATATGCCCACCTCTAATAATATAAAAAAAAATATTATTTAACGTTATTATAATATTATATTTTTTTATGTTCAATTCCATATATATATATATATTACGCGGGCGTGGGAAAGTGAATCTGACCGCATCTCGTCGATCCTTTCCGTGCGGGAGAGAAAGCGTCGCGCAGATGGGGCACGATAATTCATCGCGAGTCGACGTACCCTCGCCTCCTAATTTCCGAGCCGCTAATTAGCGAGACGTAATGGACGAGACGCGAGATCGTCCTCGCACGCACGCTCCTAACGGGCCTTTGTTTATTAGCTCGTCGGCAATTCCCTCCTTCCGAACGGAGGAAAACTGCTGTTGCATCGGTGGAATTAAGCGTACACATTAAGAAGAAGCACATATTTCAGGACGTTACGCGTTATAAAACGTCAAATGACAACGTTATGTCGACAACGATTTCTCGCTTACTAGGAACGAATTACAGACGGGGAATCGTTTCTTCTCGAGCGCCGACCTCCGCGCGTAATCCCAAAGGAAAATACGGCGCGCGGACAGGTCCATTGTGTCTGCGCTGGATTCTCGATCCAGCGGGGATCGACGGAGGAGATAGGCAAAGGGGATTTAAACGCGGCCACGTGCACGTAGTGCTCGAATGCGTCCCCGCCGACGAGGAGGAGATGATCCGCGCAATCTCGCGCCGCAGATCGCGCCGGATCACGGAGCGGCTTCGCGGTCGTTCCATTCTCCGTCCGCCTTTCGCAACATGCAGAGCGGGCCGACGGCTCTGATGGCCGCACATGGTATGTGCGTGAGATAAAATGAGATTTCCGGGAGCAATCCGTAAGCCTCGCTCGACCGGCCGGCCGGTGAATCAAGCGATTTTTCACGGCGCGTCTACCGGCAGAGGACCCAACACCTGGTGAACGTGGAACAGGCCGGAGTATCCCGGCCGAAACCCACCCCTAAGTGTCTATTAATTTATACTCAGCGGGAGTGTGAAATCGATTTGCGCTCGCAAGCGACATGCGCTCGCCGGGTTTTCTCCCGGCTCTCGATTCTCCGCACCCATCATTAATCTCATCGGGCGGAGAAATTGCGTTTTGTCACTCTTACGTGTCCCTGCAAGCGTGTAATATTCCTAGAATATTATACGAATATTGAGTATTAAAATAATATTCTTGCAACGTTCTAAGAATGCTTTTTAAATATTATCAGGAGCGGACATGTAGCCATCTGTTAATATTCCAAAAATTATACAGTTTGTTACAGCTAGCGAAAAATATCGTCGCTAGTTTTCGCTTGTTTTGAGTGAAACTCCGCTCCGAAGAAATTCCGAGTTCGCGTCGGAAAAGAACGGCGGTCGGACTGCTCGGAGGTGCTCTCATCGTGTTCCTCACCGGCAGAATGACGAGCCGTAATAACAAATCGATCGCGTGGACGCCGAAGACACGTACGTAGGCGAGGGTTGTCTCTCCCCTCCGGGAAAGTGGGGTAGACGATGCATTGGAGCGTGGAGTGGTGTTTTGGGGGCTCGTGCCCTTTCCGCGGGGGTCGTGTGTGAGGACACCGCAGGGGGTAACATCCAGCCGGATACCGGAAACGGTTAGGCGGCACCGGATACAGGGAACGCATTATTAGACAGGTGGCTGAAAGGTTCCCGTGTGGGAGGTGGGTGGCTCCCGACGATCAGGACAAGCGCGATCCTGTCGTAAATGTAAAAGCGGAATCTGAGAAATCGGCGGAAACGCGAGAGGTCCCTAAATCTTGGATTGCACGAAGATCGGCGCGATATCCTCGACAACTAATATTAATTAAGCCTTACATTTTATATAGTTGAGTCAATAATTATTATAATACTATTATCACCTGAATATTTTCGAAAAATAAGAATATTTTATATTAACAAGTGGATAAAGATAAAGAAAAAAAGTTTACATTCACAGGTGTTCGAAGGGTAAAAATGAAGTTCAGGTGAGGCACCTCTAGGGGCTTTGACCTTGACATGTGTGAAAGAGGATGCTCTCCTGAGTAACTTTCAAAAGAATTCATTTAGCCATCGCTCATTGTTTATGAAAAAGTTATGAACAAAGGAATTTACTACTAACTAAAATGTACTGAATTTAACTAAAAACTGCGTATATTGATGGAATGATAGTGAAAGAAGTGAGATCAATTGAGAGAGAATATCAATAAAATTTTCAACATAATATTTCCATCAGTGTATATTGTTAAATCGTACTACGACTTCGTTCTTTTTTTTTATTAATATAAAGAGTGTACAAAGAAGTACAAAAAAGCACAAAAAGTGATAAAAAAAAAGAATACAGCATTAGGGACGCAGCCTATTCGATCCTACTACGACCTCGGGTCCTTCGTTGGGTACAGTGGCGGCTCGTAGCGGAAACTTTGGAACTAATAGAAGTAACAGGTTTGAGTCTCTGCTGAAAAATCCTTATGTCTATTATATCACTTTTAGCAATCTTAAAGTACCCTTCCTTCCCTCAAACGAGAAGTGCGATTCTCTCATGACGGATTGGGCGGACTTTGATTTCCCGATACGATTTAACAACAAATCGATCTTTCCATTGTTTTCATTCCCTCAGGGATAGTTTACTGTACCGACTTATCGACGAATCGTGGTTCTGAAAAATTCAAATCGCCACGGAGAGCCTCAACTCCCGCTTCCCACGCTACATTCGCTCGCGCGGGGGGAAAGTCAAGATGAAATTACATCGCATTAAAGCAACATCAAAAGAAAACTAACGTTGCATCGGTTGGAACCTCCCTTGAATTGAATTTTCCCGCTTTCTCCGCGGGCCTCTCGTCGATACTGAACCGGTGCAGCTAAAAAGAACAGACCAATTGACTGTATCGACGAGAGGTCTCGCGCATGCGCACGAGCGCACGCTCCATGTTGGCCCCCGTGGAGTCGACGTCGTGGCTCGCGCGCGGTCGCGCCGATTATTTCCGCTGAGCTGGGCCGAGTTGTTTACATCCGCAGGACTCGCACCGCCCCTACCCACGTCTCGCGTCCTTCCGGATCCCCCCGTTGTCCGATCGGCCGCCTTCACTTTCCCGTCGTCGATCCGACCGACGGTATTCCCGGAGTGCCGTGTGATCGTCGAGGCGCGCGCGCGCAAACGAAGAAGAAGACATGAAGGTGACAGTGACAACGCTGAGCGACGACATCTTCGTCCTGGACGTGAGCGAGGAGCTCGAGCTGGAGAACTTCAAGGCGTTCTGCGAGATCGAGAGCGGCGTGCCGGCGCACGAGATCGTGATCGCGTTCAACGGCCTGCCGCTGATGGACGACAAGAAGTCGCTGCGGGACCACGGCATCCGCGACGGCGACGCGGTCATCCTCCAGCACATGCATCAGAGCGGCAGCGACATGAACCTGCAGCCTTTTAACAGAGGTGAATGCCGTTCTCGTCCCCTCGATCGTCTTAGCGGTATCCGAGCGAACGCGCGTAATCATCAAACACCGCCGCCACTTATCTTGTCTCGTCGGTAGCTCACCGTTATCTTCATCTCGTCTCTTATCTCGTCTCCGTCGATAAGCACTACGAAGCAAAAACTCGACGGCGGCGAGACCTCGGCCTTTGACCTCGCTTTAATTACGCATTCCGTTCGTTAGTCCCGAGCGGAATCTGCGCGAGCAACATCGGCGAAACTGTGCCTCTCACCACTCTAGTAGTTCTCGGGTTTGTTCTTTACGGCTGAACCGGGAATGAAAAGTGAGTCGTGCCGGCGGATTGAGCTGGCTTGTGTGCTCACTTGGTGGTTCGCTGGAAATTCACTTTCAAAATGTCCGATAATTATCGGTGTAATTATAAGTGAAAATCCAGCTCGAAGCATTCAGAGCACACAACATCCGAACTAATGCAGCCAGTCTGTAAAGAACAAACCTCTTCTCACCTTGAGCTCTGTCGCTTCGTTTACAATCCCTGGCAATATTATTAGACTACGCACTTTGATTCTTCAACGGAACACAAGTTAGGAGGAGGAGGAAAGCTACGGATTTTACTATCACTCGGTCAGAGCAATTCTCAGGGTCGAACCAGCGCTCTTACCTCCGCAGGTGTTTCGTAGTGTCGAAATCACTCGTTTTATCCGTCCATTTTCGCAAGCAACGTCAATATTTTTCACACGGAAATTTACCTCCTCTTAGTTAAGCGAGGAATTCGAGTGTCGGTCTACAATAGATATTTTAAGCAATTGACCGACACTGAGGTTTTAAGTCACGAATAAACAGAAATAAAAACTCAATTTCGAGCGAGGACTTTACTTGATAATCAGCTGCCTCCTCCCTTGTTTCTTTCTTTCCCCTTCACCTGAGTTCACCTGAGCTCACCCCCGACATACACACACACACACACAGCGCATGTAGCGTCCTGCAAGAACTGAACGTACTAAATTCGACGAAACCGTCGCTCTAGCCATTCCGTTACTGGACTTCAGTTCCATCAGAGTTCCCGGGGCGTCGAATAATCGCCAGCCCGCGAACAGCAGCGGCCGAGCAGGGCAGAATCCGCGCGGCGGCGAGGACGATCCGGCGCTGATAAAGAACATGTTCCTGGCGAATCCGGATCAGCTGGCGCTGCTGAAGCAGAACAATCCCAGGCTGGCGGACGCCCTGCTGTCCGGGAATCTCGGTAAGCGAGATGAGAGACGCCTCCCTACTGCGTTCATTGCGACGTACCGACGCACCTGTGTCCAGCACCTGTGGCCTAAACGTTCGTGCATTATATAGATAGATTTTCGACTGTACTCAGAGAGCAGATAAACGCTCGAGAAGAACGGCAGGCGCAACGGCTGAGAATGATGAACGCGGATCCGTTCGATACGGAGGCCCAACGGCTGATCGCCGAGGAGATACGGCAGAAGAACATCGAGGCGAACATGGAGGCGGCGATGGAGTACAACCCGGAGACATTCGGCACCGTCGTCATGCTCTACATCAATTGCAAGGTCAACGGGTTCCCCGTCAAGGCGTTCATCGATTCAGGTAAATCGATGCCGGCGGCAATTGACGATCGAATTTCGCTTGGGAGGAATAAGGAAACGCTTAAAGTGCCTCTCGAAGAAGTGGGTAAAAGGCGGGCGAATTCATCGTTTGCACACTTAACGCGTGATTATTGCGCGACGGCGTGCCAGATGTCAATAGCGTTGAATCGTACTCTCGGGGGGGAGGGGGGGGGGACTATTTTTAAGTGTCTTTGTTCCCGCCGCGTCTCGAAAGGACGAGTGGGCGTCTATTTTTAAATCCGCGCATCTCGGAAAATCATTTCACACGACGCGTGGAAAAACAGTTTAATTTTAGAGCACGGGGTACACACGAGTGTGCACGGGAATGAAAAAGGAAAACAGAAGGAACTGGAGTCCGCCTTTTCTCGGCCCGGACCGATCGCTCCTCGCGGGGTTGTATTAATGCAACGACGGTGATGATATTAGGTGTACAAATGAATTCGCTGCTTTCGCATTCGGTGTCCCGTGACTCTGGCTTCGAATGAAAATTTATCTCCCATATGGTGGCAACGACGACTTTATCGAGTCGAAACCGCCAAGTTTTTCCCGCGAGGTCACTCATCAGCTGCCCGATGGCCGTAAAATCATGTAAAATAATGGAAATTATCTCGAACGTTAAACTCGTACTCGACTTTTTATGAATAAACTTGGAATCTCATGAAGAAAAGGCGCCGAGAATTAATTTGTATGTCTAATAATGATGACGATGACGCGAAGTAAAGGGAATAAAAGAGATCGTTTCGCCGGGCGAGAACGTCAGGCGTGTTCAACGTGGTGTCGTCGAGTACGTGTAGCAATAATTTCTTCTTTTTTTGCTTCGTAAGGCGCACAAACGACAATCATGTCCGCCAGTTGTGCCGAGAGATGCCACATTATGCGGCTGGTGGACACGAGGTGGGCCGGGGTCGCCAAAGGCGTCGGCATTCAGCGCATAATCGGCCGTATACACATGGTACAAATACAGATCGGCAACGATCACCTGACCACGTCGTTCAGCGTCCTCGAGGAACAGCCTATGGACATGCTGCTGGGCCTGGATATGCTGAAGAGACATCAGTGTTGCATAGATCTGAAGAAGAACGTCCTGAAGATCGGCACCACCGGCACCGAGACTCCGTTTCTGGCGGAAGGTGCGTATATCTACGTGTGTCCGTGTATATTGATTTTTCTTTCCTTCTCTCTCTCTCTCTCTCTCTCTCTCTCTCGTACACTGACCGATTTTATTCGTCGACTCGCGCCTCTCTGTTTCGGCCAGGTGATTTACCCGAGTGTGCGAGACTCAGCGGCAATAGCGACGACGTGCTGGACGACAGGGATCTCCAACGGGCTCTCGAGGACAGTTCGAGGGATGCGAAGAAACAAAGGCAGCAGCATGGTGAGTCTTTCTCTGCTTTTTTGTTTCTCAATTCTTATCTTACTGTTCGTGATCGTGATTTCGTGAAAACCTTCCAGACGGTCAAGGAAGCAGCAGCAACCAACCCGGCACGTCTATGTCGTCCAGCAGATCTACCGTTCTAGAGACGACAATCTATCCTCAAGATCCGTTCACGGAGGCCACGGTGAAAGAGTTGGAAGCCCTCGGCTTCACGAGGGCGCAAGTGATCGCGGAACTGCGTAGATTTAACGGGGACAAGACACAGGCCATCGCGGCGTTGTTCGCGAAATCACTGAAATTCTGAACGTTAAGGGAACTTAACGCCCGCGCGCGCGCTCGAGGGAAAAAAGACGGAGAGACGTAGCGAAAATTGTGAATACAGGACACGCAATAAAGAGAGAGAGAGAGAGAGAGAGAGAGAGAAAGAGAGACGGAGGAAAGACCCACAATTGTAAGAGCAATTTTTACATGTATCGTCCGGCGCCGCCTGGTAGCTCTCGTAGCTGTTTGATACACCTTCTCGATATACCTTCGCGCGGCAATCGAGCGATTTTTATAACTCAGCAATCTTTGCTATCAAGTGCTGCACGCATTTCGGGCCTGATTACGAGCGACATCGCGACGAACGATTCGCGGTAAAACGGAGTCTACAGTGAGAATTTAAGCTCTGTGAGCCTGGAGAAATTGGCCAATCACAACCGAACGCGAGGGGAATAATCGACTTGCGATTGGTCGATTTCTCAAGACTTAGAGATTAAAGCATTTATTGTAGACTAACGATTTATGGTGATGACGTAAACGACTCGCACACTTCCAAGTTAGTAACAAAAAAAGAGAGAGATATATCGCGAATTCATGAGGCGTGTCATAACCCCGCGTGTTTTCTTGTTGCGCGTACGCGCATCCCTGGCCATATTTTTAGACGCACTTTGATTCTTTAATAGAATACATGTTAGGAGGAGAAGGAAAGCTACTAATTTTACATTCACCCGGTTAGAATCATTCGCGGTGTCGATCGGCGCTTTTCACCTCCGCAGCCTTCCGAGCTGTCAAATCACTCGTTTCACCCATAACTTTTGCAAACAGTATTAATATTTTTCACACGAAAATTCAATTTTCCAGTAGTCAAGCGAAGAATTTAAAGTTTCGGGTCACGAATAAACGAGGATAAAACTAAATTTCAATCGAGACACATCGTATTATATAAAGCTGGCCCCCGGAGGTCAGCTTAATATGAATTGTAAAGAATTAAGGTGCGTCCGATAATACGAACGGGGACTGTAAGTGAATTGCGTTGTTATCACAACATTGCAACGGATCCGCCGCATCGGATTACGCTGTTAAGAGTGAACTGCAAGTCGGAGAGATGTCAAATTGTTGATGAGATACTTGATATACTTAATGCGACGATCCACGCGTGCACAGTAGAGGTTTGCGATAGACACACATTGGCTATCCCAGACTTAGTTCGGTCTTCACGGCCTCACACGCGAGACTCGCTCGCGTATACACACACACACACACACACACATAGAGTTTGCTGAACGGAGAGACACGAGACACGCAAGTCGCAAGATTTCTTATGCCGCGTGTCTCTGCGAAACACACGTGAATCTTTTGCATTACTTTGTAATATTCCGTTTACACGAATACGTTTAGACGGATGCAAATGTATATATATATACACACGTCTAGTGTGTAAGTAATAGAGTCTAAATAAATCGTGCACGGCGCAAACGCAGAATCCTCTCGCGCGAGGACATCAGTCTTTATTATGGTTTTTAAAATGGTTTGGCTCGGCGTTCCGAAGGCTCGAATATATCCGACGACGTTTCAACCCGCTCAAACTCAGTTCCTCCGTTTGTTTATCGAGGTAATGACGACTAACTTTGTATATATAAAATGATGTAACGACAAGTGAACAGTAGAGAAATTGTCATTTCTCTCTTTTTTTTTCTTTTTTTTCTTTTTTCTACGAGATCTTTGTGACGTAAGCGATCCCTACGCACGCCAGTTTTTACGGTGGATAACGTTGATTTTGTACTATTGTTACTTTTGCTCCCCCCTTTGGTAAGGTATTTGGTACATCATTGTATTCTCTCTTGGTCGATGATAAAGTCGTGATCGAACTGCTATGGCTTGGTTTATTCATTCAGCCAAATCCGCCAAATATCTAAGAAATTGACCAATCACGATCGAGTTATAGAAGAAAAATCAATTATGATCGGTCAATTTCTTAAATCTTACGCCTTAAATTCTCATTGTAAACGTCGCTTAAGTTCCAGTTTACAATAGGTGCTTTAAACTCTGAGCCTTAAGAAATGGACCAATCACAGACGAATATGAGGAGAATAATCGACCGTTGTTCACCTGTCGTCAAAGAAGGACAGCGAAAGTGAGTATTCGGGAAATTAAAGAGATATCAACATACTCATACAGCTTCGTGTGTTAATATTTTTTTTTTTATTTCTCAAGTATATTTTCCTTATATCTTTATTCATTTTCTTATTTATATGACATTTATTTCATTCATTTATTTATTTCCTTCATATCTCAGATATATTTTTATCATTGAAACATAATATAAGTAGTCTACAAGAAGGATTTCACATTCAATTAATTCCTATACTTGTGTGATAGCGAGTCAGATTTCACGGTCTTCTCGCAAATTCAAGCCTTTGTGCCTGCCACGAATGCGGGAAAATTCACTCGAATTCGTCTGCTCGTAATTGAAATCACACACGCACATGCACGCACGGTAATAAACGATTCGCCACCTGCTCTGTTTTCTCTCCGTGTGAAATCTCACATTCCGTGTTGAGGAGAAATCCAAATAATTACACACGTACTTATTACATGTATTCGTAGGTACAAATGCATTTGTATATAACGTTGTTAAAAAAGAAGCCGTCTTATTGGGGATAAGGCAGTTCACCGCCGTCCCATTTCAGTTCCACCACTTTGCCGGTGTGCGCCGACTCCTCGCAGGCCGTCGCGATCTTGCTCACCGCCAGGATCTCCTTCGGCCTGACCAACGACTCGGCCTTGTCCAGCACGATGTCGACGAAATGATCGAGTTCCCGGCGGTAGCCGTCCGCGAATCGGCTGGCGAACGAGTACCAGATGGGATTGGCGGTCGGCCCTTCCACGCCGTACTGCCTGCGCACCGAGTGCATCGGCTGCTCATTGTCGACCTGCACCATGCCCTTCGGCCCGAACACCTCTAGACGTTGGTCGTAGCCGAAGGTGCTGTTCCGGGACAGGTCGATCGTGCCGAGAGTGCCCGAGGGAAAGTGCAAGGTCACGGCGACCGTGTCGAAGTCGCCGATCTCCTTGATCTCCGGGATGTTCGCATCAGCCAGGACCACCACCTGCGAATAATCGGCAATAATTGGTAGAACGTTAATTGGCAGGCTGAAAATTAAAACAGATAAATGGAGCAGGGTTGGGTAAAAAGTTAAGTTTCACTTTGGAGTTCGCGGCTAAAAGTTAACGGCCCGTAAAATTCACTTGGTTCAAGTTACCTGAGCAATAACGAAATTAACAGTTAAGTGAAAATTCCCTTCATAGGAGGAGGACAGGAGCAAAGTAAGCATCCAGGGGGCCTTAATTAATGCTTGAATTTAACTTCTAACCGATTGACTAGTTATTATCCAACCCGGAACATTTCTTTGGCGCTTCTCTTCCGTACAACTGCCGAAGTCGCACCTTGTCCGGATATTCTCCGAGGACCCAGGTGATGACGTCGATATCGTGGACCAAACAGTCGTGGAAGATGCCGCCGGACGTCTTGAGGTACTCGATGCTGGGCAGGGGGGAGTCGCGCGCGACCGTCTTGATCATGTGCACGTGCCCGATCTCACCCTGACGCACCCTGTCGCGCACCGACGAGTAAGACGGATCGAATCGCCGATTGAACGCGCAGAACAGCGGCCTGCCGACCCTCATGGCCATCTCGTAGCACGTGAGGATGTTCCCGCGATTGTCCGCTATCGGTTTCTCGCAGAACACCGCTTTCCTCGCCTTCAAAGCCTTGCCGACGATATTCTCGTGAGTGAAAGTCGGCGATGCGACGATGACCGCGTCGACGCTGGGACAGACAGATTGCAGAATATATGAGTCGGTATAACGTATATATAAATATGTGGAATGTTTGCACGGTTTAGCGTTTAACTTTCACGTTTGCACGTGCGTTCGTGTCTTCTGTTAAATCACGATTTCTAAACGGACTTAATGCGGCTACTCACTCGGGATCTTGGTACACCCTGTCCGACTGTTTGCTACTTAGGAAAGTAACGTTTTCCAGATGCCAGTATCTCTCCATCTTTTGCCAGTTACTCTCGACGTCGTCAACGATGTACAGAAGTTTGACACGCTGGCTGCACATTATCGACGTCAGATGTATCGTCCCAACGCGTCCCACTCCGAAGAGGGCCAGCTTTACCACCGGATCTCGCGAGTCGGTCTTCAAAGCGAGATTCGTCAAGTATCTACGAAGGTATATCTTCGCCGATCAATAAGATCAGTAAAGGGGAATGCTTTCCCCTTTACAAGTATTTCCCAAAAATTAAAAACATCTCAAATTTAGACGATTAGTCAGTAAACGTTGCGACAATGTTACAAATCTGACGTTGATTATATAAAGAAGTTTCGGTAAATATTTCGATTGAAATTGCTTCACCCTTATCGAGACTTTCCCTTAGCGTTCCCGTCTTATTCCCTTAATGTCACCGGTTAATTGGTGTTCTCACGGATATTCGCGACACATCGAACACGGCAATGCGATGTCACGGCACACGTGGCAGCTGCTCGCTCACCTGTTGTAAACATAATCCTCCGACGGTGGCGAAGGTTTTGGCCTGACATACGGGGACGCTTCCTTGAATTTCTCTGTTGCCATTGTCGCAAATTAAAACGCGCGTCGCGCTCACAAAATATATTACGCGAGTGAGACAACCGGTGCCCCGCTGGTAGCTTCTTATCTGGAGCTGGTAGCTCTATATATACGAAAAGACGTAAGACTGAAGGTGGGGGGTTGCTCGGTGTGACGTGTGTAATGTTTAATGATCTATCGGCGGTTTATGTCGATAAGACGAAGATAAGTCCGCCCGATCTACGAACGGCGCTTACAGTCGGCGTCGTGTATGCCGTACAATTCTCTGGAATATTATATCATCAAGTGACGGTTTAAAAACATTTGTAAAATGTTATGTCGAAATGTTTGCAAAACCCATATGAAATCGATGTTTCCAATGATTGATTTCACATTTCATGCTTACCTTGAGTTGCGCGATTTTCGACCTTATTGGATGGACGCGTAAGGTTGAGAATCGTGTAATTTTCCGTTCAGAGAATGGAACGACGTACACGACGTACGACATCGATTACTTCGTCGATGTGACGCCCGTGACAAAAGTGAGAAAAATTACCGTCAGGTCGAGAAGTCACGCAATTATTGGCGCGAGGAAACGGCTCCTCCGCTCGCTGCTGAGATGAGAGCTTTTTCGCATATATATATATATTTACTTCAATTCTGTTTCGAATTAACATTTATTAGTTAGACAGTGAAGTAAATGTATAGAAAGAATTTTGCTCGACACAAGTACTAAATTTATTTCTCGTGCGGCCTCCTCGATGTGGCCTCCTTGATGCGCTGAAAATACGACGAGCCGTGCGACTTCGCTTAAATTGTCCCAGACGTGTGTCCGTCTCGGCGAATATCTCGACTCCGAGACATGATGAGAGGACGCGTTATCGTCGAATCGTCGGGCACGAGACGCGATCGCTATCCGGCCGTTTGTTAATCGCTCGAATTATTATCACCGTGACCTGTGACTGCATCAAACGTGTCGAGCAAATCATCGAGCGATTCACTCGGCAAATCGATTCTCCTCACCACGATTTTACGGCCGCGAAAATAGAATTGCGGCTCCCGAAGGTCACGACGGGAGGATCGTAAATCGTTGAAAGAAAGCGTAGAAGCGTCGGAGCCCCTCAGCTTGTTTTTTTTTACGGGCCGGAGAGAGATAGACAGAGGGAGAGAAAAAGAGATTCAACTATTTAATTTATTACGAACAACAACAATAATAAACAAAATGGTAGCGAATAGCGGTGGTGGCAATAATCTCTCGAGAGAGCGGAGCATTGCGGAGTCTCGGCGGAATCTCGACGGCGGTTCATCGGCGAGACTTCACCTCAGGCGATTTACAGCCGAGACGGCCGTGCGATTATTATTCTGAAAATCAATTCGAGCACGTGTGTTTTTGCCGTGAAAACTGTGAAAGAAGACTTAAAAATCTAGTCGCGAAATACAAGATTTATTTCGCAGAAATGAATATTTATTTAAATACGGCGAAGTGAAATTTTATTCCCAGCGGGTAAATCAACTAATAAGAAAACTTGGGTATATTTCGTGAGAATATATATTCCGTCATATCACGGTCAAATTTTCTCCCAACCAATGAATAGCGAAGAAAGTGTCACGAGAAACACTTACTTCGCAAAATTCCAATTTCTTTTTCTCAGTGTGCTTATTTTGTTTTTATCAATTTTAATTTTATCATGAATCAATTATACACGATCCTTCGTGTTTTTATGTAGGGACACCGATTGTGCCCGGAAAATTGTCGAATAGCAATTTAGCCGGGTCCGATGATCGAGCCCGGGCAACGAAATGTCGAGGAACCGTGTTGTTCTCTTAACTTTGACTGTCTCTTTATTAGCTGGCGCACATTAGCGTCTCTTGCCTTACGAATCGCGACGTCCGGCACGAAGACCACTTGGTCGCTGTAACTCTCCACGTAAGCGGCCCTTTTGTTCCGGTCCCTTTCCGGATCGGCGTCGATTAGGGCTATGCTGGATCTCGTAGGTCTGAGGAAGAAAGCAATAATGCTTACTTGTCGAGTCTCAACTTTCATTGCCTCGCAGTGAAAAGCTCTTCCATGCGTTACATCGATCGTATCTCCGAGAGAAGAAATTCCGAAGAAGTAAAACAGATTCGTTCGACGGATATTAAAAACATATTTACTTATACTGACATACGTATTTTTACCTGAGAAGAAATTTCTTTCGAACGGGAAGGTGCGAAATTGGCGAACACTTTCTTGTGTATGTATAGTTTACCGTGAAAGCAATTATTTATTCTATTGTATCGACATAAACCAATTTTGACTTAACGAGATGATGATGATGATGATGAGTCAACGTGTAATCACCTTCTTTTGCTCCCATTAAGATCAGCCGTCACCGTGCGATCCCTCGGCTTCGAGAAGTCGCATTCCAACGTGAACGCGGCGTCTCCCGGTGTCACCAGGTCGTCGTCGTGCTGCACCACCACGACGTTGCTGTACTTTTCGCCCTCCTGTCATCGAGACCGAAGAAAAATGTAAAAAAATACTCGAGACGGACATTTACAATGTTGAACGATTATAATTATATAATTGATCGGATAATTTCGTGTAAGAAATTATATCCTTTCTTCATTTGAAATTTGCTGTACTTACGTTTACGCGTTGGAGGAATGACAATAAAAAAATATTTAGCTCTAAACAACGACGACAGCGACAACGATGATGATGATAATAAATAATGAAGAATAATATACGTTGCGTTGCTCACCTTTTCCGTATCGCACTTATTTAAAGGGATATTCATGGTGAAACTCCTGCCGCGTACCGGATCGAGGAAGCAGGACGGTTCTCGTGAGTGGAAGCTGCCCTGTGTGTAGATCACCCCGGAAAAATCCTCGGTGGTGCGTAACTCCACGGTCATCTTGTCGGCGCCGCATCGCAGCCCCACGCGATCGTAGCCCTCGGTGGAAGCGCCCGTGTCCTCGGACCGATCCTGTTCCCAAGTCTCCTCTACGACCGTGCGATCGAATATCGACAGAGTCGGATAAACGATATCCCTTTTCAACATTTTCAATTTACCCGTTTCCACGATTTTTTCGCACATTAAACTACTTATTTGCACGATTACGAGGCAAGTCTGAGATAAGCTTAAATTATGGTAAATTTAAGAAAGGAAAGCAAAAAATGACATATATCGAATTATGAAAAAAGATATATATAAGTAAAACTTGAATAAATATAAACAAAAAATTAACTAATTACTGTAAATTTTTAATAAAAAGGTAACAGAAAACTAATTAATTTAATGAAAGAAATTTAATAAAATATTAATTAATTACTGTTTAAGTTTTTTAATACCTGTGTTACATCCATTCAGCTTGGCGCTCGCCAGGAACACGAGGAGCAGGATGGCGCGCATAATAAATGTAGAAGGCGAATGGACGAACGAACGTGAACTGACGGTAAATTCAAGTTCGCCTAAAGGCCGAGTCGTGTGTTTACCGCCGTTACCTGAATTCCCCCTTCGCGTCGAAATCAAATATACTTTCACCATGCTGCAACACGTGACGGAAAATCTCCTCTTCTTATTTCTCTTTTCTCTACCACAAGTCATCGCATGGTTCATCGATCGCCGCTGCGGATCATTGATCTGGAACCGAAATCTCTCTCTCTCGAGTTTTTTTTCTCGATCGCGCACAAATCGGTATTAATTTGTAAGACGGTAAAACAAAGTATCACACAGGATTGGATGAAAAGGATTTCTTCGCGGCAACCGTAAGGGGAAGCTTCGCGGCGAACGAAGGAAGTGAGAAATACAAGATGCGAGAAATTAGTACAAAATTAAATAACTAAGGGAAAGATAAGAAATTCAGAAAGATAATCAATAATATCTCGAAGCAAAATTGAAAAACATGCGATTCTTGGAAAATGTTGCATCTTCGGGGCACATCGGACGCTAACGGCGGCATTGAAGTCGTCCTGTCAATTCCGAAACAATGCTACCAATACAACTACTTGTTTTTATTCATCGAATCTTTCTCACCCACGTATTCCTTTGCAAATTTTGTATTTCGGGATTCTCTGACTTGATTATATAATTTAATGGGGAGGGGGAAACACTCTCTTGTTTCGATCGACTGATCAATGAAAAACATCAAAATTAAGACTTACTGAATCATCTCAGAACTAAATTGATACTTGTAATTACTCAATAATTCGGTACACTCGACATACAGTTGTGATTCTGTGAATGTTCTCGCGCCGCTGAAGTATCGTCGGAGAGACGGTTTTCGTCATGAAAGTTGGCCGGATTGCGGCGTCGTGGCTCTGCCGGACGGTAGAAACGAGTTCTACGGCACTTATCTGAGAGCACCGAGACGATCAACATGTCTGCCATCCGACTCTCGAAGGTTCTTTTCTCGCGCGTTTCACAGGCGGCCCGATTTCCGCAACAATTCGCTGCGCCCACGATCAGGTGCTACTCTTGTGAGTATAACGAACGCAAATCCTCGAATATTACTTATCACCTACTAAGGTTTCTTATACAAAAAAAAACCAAACGCGTTGTTATCTGCTGACATCCAGTATTATCACTCGTCCGCACCGGCTGTTGCCAACTCGACTTGTTTTGAATATCATGAATAAATCATGTTTTTCCTTTCCTCGTGCACATCCGTCGATACGCAATATATATCGTACAACTTAATAGCACTTAATTGAAAAGCTTTTCGAAGCACTTGCCATATGCGTATCGATAACGGCAATCATTTGTTACGTCACGGATCACGTCACGTATTTGACGTATTTCGTATACGAGGCCTTCGCAAGTATTGTTATAAGAAAAAAAAAAAGAAAAATGCGTTAATGAAATATAACAGTGAATGATCTTTTCTCTCGGGAGAATTCTGATGCCCGTAATGACCTCCTTCGCAGGTGAGACGAACAATTTCGAGCACATCAAGACCGAGACTACGGGCGAGAAGAAAAATGTGGGCCTCATCACGTTGAACAGGCCCAAGGCCTTGAATGCTCTGTGCAAGGGATTGATGGACGAATTGGATCACGCCTTGAAGCATTTCGACGCGAACCCGGCTATCGGCGCTATCGTTCTCACCGGGAACGAGAAAGCATTTGCTGCTGGTAAGGCCAGGATTGACGTTTTAATCAACTCGGTGTAGACTCTTAAGTCCAGTAGGCTGTAACTGATGGTGATCATCTATTTTGCGGGCCTCGTCTTTTTACAGGTACACATGTATCAACCCGGGGGAAAATTTTTAATTTTAATTTGTAATTTTACAGACGCGGGGCATTTCATAGGCAAATACGTATAGATAAATACATAGACATTACTTTCATAACAATGATTGTCAGGTGCGGACATCAAGGAGATGATGAACAACACGTACACGATCAATGAAAAGAACAATTTCCTGCAAAACTGGGAAAACATTTCCAAGATAAAGAAGCCCATCATCGCCGCTGTGAACGGTTACGCTGTAAGTAATGCTTCTCCTTCTGCCGGAAAATCTCCGCTGTAAATCGTATAACATTGACATTCATTTCGTCTCTTCTTCGATCGTGCAGTTGGGCGGAGGCTGCGAACTAGCATTGACATGTGACATCATTTACGCCGGCGACAAGGCCAGATTCGGCCAGCCGGAGATCGCCATCGGCACGATGCCCGGAGGTGGCGGCAGCCAGCGGCTGCCCAGATTCATCGGCAAGAGTAAAAGCATGGAGTTAGTGCTCAGCGGCAATCCGATCACCGCCGAGGAAGCCGAGAGGAGCGGTGAGTCTCTCTCGCAAAGAGCGACTCGGGCAGCACAATCGTTCAAAATCGGGACGTAAGATGTCTTTTAGACGTCTTGAAAAGGACGTAAAGACGTCTTATATTACGATATCTTAAAGGCAACTTGAAGACCCTGCGAGGGGATAGCAACATTGAATTTTTAATAATAATTTAATTTTTAATAATTTTATTTTCTTTTATTTATTTTTTTATTTTAATAATTTTAATAATTTAGTAATTAATAATTTTGACTTTTAATAACTTGATGGATAATTAACATTGATCTTTCATAATTTCATGAAAATCTTAATAGTGACATCACATTCTCCTTTCTCTACGCAATAAATTTTCTTTTCTCCGATATTTACTTGAAAATTCATTATTGCGCTATAAGATACGTGCAGAGATTCCCCCCCACGATTATTGATCTCCTGAAACGCGAAATTCTGCTTCACAGGCTTGGTCAGCAGGGTCTTCCCGGCCGACAAGCTGGTCGCGGAGGCGGTGAAATTAGGCGAGAAAATCTCATCTCACTCACCGATCATCGTCAGCTTGGCCAAAAAGGCCGTCAATGCCGGTAATTGAATGCAATTATCCAAATGAACCACATTAATACGTTGGGTGTGGGCTCAACCTTTAGATCAAGTTGGGCGTGTTCTCTCTCTCCCTATGGCATGTTGTTTTTAAGTATATTTAAGTTAATTCAAGTTAATTGAAGAAGTTAAAAAAAAAATATGCCGCCACGGGGGTTGGATTTTTACATATAGCTGCACCTAACATGTTAATTCGTTTCGCTTAATCGCCAACTTTACACGGCTACACAAATATTCATCCGTATTTTTTGCTAATTTCAGCGTATGAAACTAGTTTGCAGCATGGCCTCAACTACGAGAAACAGCTGTTTTACGGCACATTCGCCACGGTGAGCTCTCGGATTAGATCGACAAACGGTCGATCAGTGACCGGTAAATGCATATCAATTAATGACAAAACCAAAACGCGACTTTTCAGGCGGACCAGAAGGAGGGAATGGCTGCTTTCACGGAGAAACGTCCGCCAAAATTCACGAACGAATGAAAAGTTCATCGTTTGTCGCTATTACGGACGGGGCGCGAAAGGGGAAGTGCGAAATTGATTACAAGGCATTCGAGGATTCGCCGGAAATATGTTTCCGAAAAAGAAATATTTTTATACTGATATATCTTTTTAGATGAAATCGTGCACGAGATGCTGCCATTTGTTACATTTGTTATAAGATTGCTTTGAATAAACTTTTACGAGAAAAAACAAACCAAGGTAGCAGGCGGTGACGAGACATCAATGGACGTGAAAGTTCAAATGAGACTTTTATTCGAGTATATTGCTGCTATCTTATACATGAGATGGATCTCGAGTATGATACATTTAAAGCTAATATAGCATTGCAGTTATATCATATTAAAAATAATAATAATAACAACAACAATTATTATTATTATTATTATCATCGTATAGTAGAAAGGGGAAAGTACAACGGTTAAGTGTGAGTCACCATCAACGTCGTGAACGATATCTACGTGACAGCGAGATGTCTCGTGAAAACATCAGGTAGGAACAACAGGATTTCGGTAAAAACATCAATATAGCCTATATAATGCGGCGTATAGCGAGAAATGCAATGCGTCATGTTTACACGACATGAATCCATGAATATCTTACGCGTACGTATATGTGTGTGTGTGTGTGTGTGTGTGTGTGTATCGAGTGACCTTAAAACTGTGAAACTCCAAACGGTAAAAACAGTTAAAAAATATTTCACTTTCGAGTTAGAAAAAGAAGTGTAAGTATCAAATCCGTCGCGTCTGATAAACGGTGATAAAGTCAAGTCGGGTCTCTCTCTCTCTCTCTGCTATTTTCATGCAAATCTTAGCGTTGTTGACTAGCTAATACTAAGACGAATACGCGCATACGCGCGTCCCTCATCACGCTTATTACACAGATCAGATAATAATAAACTGCAGCCGCGCATTTCTTAACATTTAAACTTTAAGGGAAATTAAACTAACTATCCTTAATTACTATACGCACGGCATTCGACGCTGCTGCCTTGCTGCTCGTTTCTCTTTCTGCTCTTTTTGTTTTTTAACTCCTATCGTTTCTTTTTCTTTTTTTTTTAAGTACGTGTCTGAAAGTGGGAGTGACGCTCCGTTCACACATCGATCGTTACGTCTCGCATCGTGTCGGAGAGTTTTTAAGTTTCAAGTCCGTCCTCCCCCTCCCTCCCACCCCTCCTGCACCTTGGANGTCCCGACGATTCTTGAACGAACGCGCGTCCGAAATTCGATCGATCGGTCGCTTCGTTCCGAAATACCCCGCTTCTTCACGCTACATGCATGTCTCGCGTATCTTCGAGACTCCCGCTCCTTTGATGCAACATTTGTACATTTTCTTTTTTAATATTTCGAAAGCTTTCCTTTCGCATTAATAAACAATAGGGCTGATGTTTCTTCTTTCGAAAGCTTCGACATTCGAAGCTTCGAAACGACGTAGGATATTACAAGGTTTTTAAAATGTTAAAGAATCGTTCAAACTCGCCATCTATAATCATTCTCATGCTAATCGGCACCGCTTGAGCTCGCAATATCTAATCTACCGCTGTCAATATAACGTAGCGATATTCTAATCTCAACTTTCCTCGTCGTATTCTTCGAAGCCTCAAAGTATGAAAACTGCAACTTTTTTAAAGACATACCTTTGAGGATTTGCCTCGCCAAAATTCGAAAGTTCGGAGTTTCCTTCGGATCCTTCCGAAGCTTCGAAATTTTCTATCGAAAATTAATAAAATGAATAGCCCTAATAACCATATAAGGAGAAGTCCTGCGTAGGAGCGGCAATTTCGGATCGTACCTCGTACCTGAAGACACAAATTGAAATGTTCGCGAAACTTCAGGAGGAAATCGCACCTGGAGGATGCTTATTCGGAAGCTAAATCAAATATTAACAGCTCTAATAAATAACCGTAAAAATTAACACGAGACCTTTACTTTTTAGCCCGTTTCTCCTCGTGATTCTGTCACGTTGATTTCGCGTCTACGTGTCGACTGTCAAAGGCAAGAAGAAAGCTTTCGAAATATCAGGTACCCAGGAAGGTTTTTGCCGTTCTTATTAAAAAAAAAAAATTAAAAAAACATACCTTCGTCTTCAAATGAATTTTATTCATCAAAGTATGGGATTCTTATCTTACAGTTCGAGATTATGTATCGCATATACATACGTTAGTTGGCAGTCATAAAAGTCCCCTAGAATTGTGACCGACTTTCAAATCGGCAGAAACTCTTCCGGTTACCCCGATATTTGCTCAAACGCGCTCGACCGAGCGCAAGTTCATCATTTTACAGCCACATCCTTTGATCTCAATATATCCCACAAAAATGTTCAACGTACCTTTTCTCTCGTTCTTGCAACGTCATTAATCAACATGGTTGCGGCGAGGAGGCAGGAGCCTCAAAAAATGTATCTTACGAGGAAGACACCTTACGTTATTCATCGGCCGAGCTCCTCCCGACAGTCCAAGCCTCGCGATATGTCGTGATATAACAGCGCGCTATTGGTCCGTCCGTGTACTTTTTGCTGATCGCGTATAAAATCTTACGTACGCTTTTAGGTCCGAGATTTGTACGTTCGGTCGTCAGCGACGGACCTTTGCTACGGTTCTACCGGTGTATCAGTTGGTCCTCGATCGTCATCGGTGAGAGATTAAACATTCACTTGGTGAATTTCCACTTAAAAAAACTCCACGTGGGAACCACCTCGTTGGCGAGGAGGATGGACAGACGGACAGACAGAATCAGGGTCAAGGAGGAGGCAGAGAGATTAATCGGTTTTTATGTATATCACAGTTGCAAGCTCTGCTTCGTTAACTATATACGGTGTCGGTAAGAATCGTTAAAAGAGACGGAGAATAAAGTGTCGGTACTCTCTCTCTCTCTCTCTCTCGCTCTGTTCGCGCTAGCTTCTCTCTCATTCCTTCTCTCTCGGCGACTAACTGGGAGAGGAGACGGCGTTTACCGCTTATTGCGGCTCTTCATGGTGAAGCGTCTCCAAAAATTGCCGCTCTTCTTCGTGGGCGTCGCGGCTGGCGCCGCCGCCTCGTACGACGCGTAGCTCGACTCGTCGTCCGTATCCTGGGCGCTGGGCGCCTCCCTCGTAGGCGAGCCGCCGTGTCCCGAGTCCCGGTCGCCGTCCGTCCCGCTTTTCTCCAGACCTGGAACACGCGACATCCCTCGAATCAGGAGCCGAAACTCGAGAGGTTTAACACGGAGAATTTCGAAACTCAGGGAAGCAGAGGGGAGGAGGGAGATTCCCTTACCGCCGCCGCGCAACATGTCGAGGAACGTGCTCTCGGCGTTGCCGCGCGTGCGTCCCTGCTTCTGGGACGGCGTGCCGAAGCTCAGGCTCTGGATATTGATTTCCGCCTTGAGCTGCTCCGGCGGTATGTCGTCCACCCGGAACTCGTTCGGGTCCTCGACGAACGCCTGCTGCAGGTCGCGCATTATCTTCTTCCGTATGGTCTTCTTCATCGACAGGTGCCGCTCGAGGTGCTTAACGTCGCTCTCGGTCAGGGTCTTGCTGTTGTCGCCGCGGCGACGGGACTTCTTCTTCTTGCTGTTCTTCGGGCTCTCCTCCTCGCCGGACGTCGAGCCCATCGATACGGCGCTGTCGTGACCGGGCGCCTTCTCCTCCGTTTGCCCGCGCGTGTTGTTGTCCCACTTGCTGCCGAAGCCGAAGATGTCCCTCAGATGAGGGATGTTGCGGTCCACCGTCTGCTGTCGCGCCATCGCGCAGTCCGATTAGAGAGTGATTTTAAGGGAGGACGAGCTTCCACTCTCGAGATTTCGCCTTCGCTCTGAAACCATCAAACGGACGGACGGAGTTCGCCGATGAGCGAAGAGCAAGCGGGACAAGTCGAAATTATAATTCAATCTTTTCTTCAGATTATGACGTCGAATGTAATACAATTTTTAAGACCAATATGAAATATATGTGAAAAAAAGTGCAATAATACATATCGTAAAGCATATCGCTGGATTTCTTAATAAAATGGGAGAGGATTGACAGCCGCTTGTGCGGCTGTTAATCCGCGCTGGTAAGCCCGATTGCGAATTCCTCAAAGCAGCGGCCGCCGTTTGCGCAAACGCTGACGCGCTACGTCGCTCCGCATGCTTTTAATGTCGTTTCGCAATGCGTGCGTGTACACGAGGTAGCGGCGATTTATCTTCGGCCGTTCTCTCGCGCAACCGCGCCGCGGATCAGCTGTCGTTCGCCGACTTTTCCGGTTCGACCAGGAACTCGTTTACTCGCCGGGCGGGGGAAAAAGCCGTCCGGATCCGCGTATATCCACATATTCACGCCACGGCGGGATATCGAGAGTGTATTGTGAGCCAGTCAGCCGCGACCTGCGACCCACCGCAGACGGGCAGGCCCTGTTTTTAATCGAGTAATCGCGAACGCGACTCTCGACGGAACGCTCCCGGCCGCCGCGAAATCAGATCGAAAAGCAAGCCAGTCTCGGCTTCAGATGTCCCGGACTTTCGGCGGCATTTCTACATTTAACCCGGAAATAGTCGCCCAGGGGTTCATTTTAGACCCCAATTAAAAACCGTTATTATTAACAAAATATATAGCGTATTATCGATTGCTCTGTAATTTATTATTTTTGCGGGACACTGTAAATATAGATTTATTCGCCATTTTGAAAAAAAAAAAAAAAGTAAGGGGAAACCAAGAATATATTTAAGAATCGGAATAAACACATCGAGCGTTTTATTATGACGGTATTTCTAATAAATGAAGATATCAATTTGAAATACGCTGTTTTTTTGCGATGGAATAGGAGGAAATAAGGAGGAGGGAGGGGGGGGGGNAAGCGCCGTAAGTTACACCGGGCAATGTCAGTGCCGTAATTTCCAATGCTGCGCGTGAGTCATTTAATCGTTCACGGCCCTCGCTGTATCGCGGGGGAGGAAGGGGGGGGGGAGGAGTCACGTGCGTAGACGTGCCCGTGCATGTTGATCTCAGCCGGGACAGCTGAGGTATTTCAGCATTTGCGTAATGTTCACCGAATCCGCGCGATCTCCTTTTCTTCGCCGCGAGGTACAACGCGCGAGTAGGACGGCGGTGCTCCTCCTCCTCCGTTTCACCAACAACGGAGAAACACGAGATCTTCAACTTCTTCGACGGGCAGCCTTAATTCCCCAAGATACGCGAAATTGATCGCTCTTACAACGCGACCACAATCGCGGTGCGGTTAGGCAACGAGGAAACGACGGACGGTCCCTCTCTCTCTCTCTTTCTCTCTTTCTTTCTTTCTCCACCTGGATAGTAACCTGTCCCTCGCCCCTCGCCTCGTCCCTATTTGCCTGGCAACCGACTAGCTACGAAACGATACGTACAGCGAGATATACCGGTCGCCACGCCGTGAACCAGAGACCTTTCACGTTTCCTTCGGCGCCGCCGCCGTTGTTATCTAACGACGTGAGCGCCCGGCTTCGGTCAGCTGCTGCTGGACCGGCCAGTTTAATCCTCGTTATTATCTCGACAGTACTTCATCGCACGCGGGGAAAAAGAGAACTCGAAGAGAGACCGCGCAACTGAATGGGGAGAAGCGGAAAACTCGATGACGAGAAAACGACGTATATACAGTAGTGTTCCGTATATTGTATTTAATATACGGGACTAAACGATTCGGTTGCGGTAATCGAAACATTCGGTCGGCAAATATCCATCAGATTTCAGCGCTTATCATTACGAAATTCTTTTTTTCAGTGCGCACGATGCAACAATCGGGACACGATACGAACAGCTCAGAACTCTCTGAGAGCATAATGTACCCCCCCGTAATACCCCCGCGACGACAGTACCGTAAACCGCCGGAGCCTTCACGCATGGCAGAGCGAAGCGAGCCGGCCGGACGTGGCGGAGAACGGGCACACGCGCGTGTATCGATTCGTGCTCTCCTCCGTGCGAGGAGATCGAACGCCGCGCTACGAGCGGTACATTAATATTTGCCGCGCGTATCAGCGTGTGTGTGTGTGTGTGTACGCGGAAAAGAGGAACTCGATTCCCCAGTGACTGAACAGGGAACCGGGTGAAAAGTTGATGAGGAGAAATGTAAAACACAATACGAACGAAGGAACGAAGATAGATCTCTGTTAACGCGAGTCTCGTTAAGTTAACGATAGATCTCTGTTAACACGAGCACTTTCGTGCGAACTTTCAACTGTGTATTCAGCAAATTGTAGTTGAGACAAGAGCAATCGATCGAGTAGGAACGTCCTACGACCGAGCCCCAGGCTCGAAATCTTCGCCCGATGTTTAAACATTTAATTCTACGACACAGTAAGAACTAAGATAGTAGAATAGGTGCAATTTCAATTGTAATGATGTAAGAATAATTTCTTACTTTGAGACTCTGGTGATGTCTTAAATTTCCGTTTTCGCATTTTTTTAGCGTTAAAGTGGGGTGAAGGTGGCGTTAAAATTCAATCTGTAGAATCAAAAGTTCAAAAGAGAAGTTACAAAGCATCGATATCGTTAGGTTTTTATTAGTCTATAGGCGTAAATTAATCCTTAAGAGCGCCAGAGTAGCGTCAAAATTTCCACTGGATAGTCTTCGTCTGGTCGACGTAGGAACACCAGAAAATTCAGTTACGCCGACAGAATTGTTTTTCCTACGTCCGGCCGAAGACACGACGACAAGACAAGCCGCCGGTTCGACCGACGGTTCCGCAAAGTCAGAACCGGATTTGCCGATTAACTAATTAGCCGAACGGACCGGCTGAAAAACCAGCCTCCTCCGTGTCGCTTCGGAGCTCCTTCGCGCTCACGAGGAAGTGATGCATCGCGCGCGCCTCAAAAAAAAGGAAAAAGAAGGGGAAAGAAAAAAAAATTACCGTTGTCCTGGAAATTACTTACAATCCCTGACCATATTATCAGACGCAATGTGTACCAATTGAAATTCAGTTCTATTTTTGTTTATTTATTACCGGAAACCCCAAATTTCCTCGCTTGCTAACTAGAAAAATAAATTTTCGCGTGGAAAATATTGACATAGTTTACAAAAATTATGGAAAAAACGAGTGATTTGACGCCTCGGAAGGTTGCGGAGATAAAAGCGCTGATCGACACCGAAAATTGCTCTAATCGGGTAAACATAAAATTAGTAGCTTTTCTTCTCCTCCTAATCTGTATTCTACTAAAGAATCAAAGTGCGTCTAACAATATGGCCAAGGGCTGTGAATTCGAATAGTTTGACATTTAGAATCCTCGATCGATCCGATTCGACAGCTGCGATGTACGTACTCGCGAATGAACATTTCCGTTATCGTGCGCGTTAGGCGAGAGCGTTAGACCGAGGTTAGACCTTTCACGGGAGAACAAAATCCGAGAGCGTCTTTACGCCCGGTTCTTAACTCGGCCCATCTCCCGTCTAAGAGCTTGCGACTCTTTATTCTCATTCCCGCGCGACTCGTGTTTTGTCAGGTGCATTTAGGCGATTACACGGGCATCGTTGCGAGACACCGCGGCGTCCGGCAGTGTCGCAACGTCTTCACGAGCACCCCACAAGTTCAATTATAAACCGGAAATAGAGAACATCTACGAATCATTGTGCGCGCGAACTATTTATCTTCCGTTTGACCTTTCGGGTCGCCGATCGCGATTTCTATTCGCGCGTGTCGAACCGACCGGACAGCCGCTTATCGTCGCGAGTTACCCTTTTACCAAGACTGCTGCGAAAAAATGTCGATCAAAATTCGAGAAAAAAAGCCCTATTGTAAATAATTACCCTCGAGTAACCTCGAGCGAGACATGAAACGTCCAAACTATGCCAGCTTCAGTTATGTATGCCACCTTGAGAGAAGACATAAGGCCGCGTCTCGATCGAGCATCTCGTCCGGAACGTTATCCGCGCCATTAGCTTCGCTCCAGTCCCGTGAGTCCAGGCTAATGTCGCGCGGCATTTACCGTCGAGTAAAGACGTACTTCTGACGAGGCATCGACCGCCGGTTGCGGTCGATCGGACTGTCTTAACACACCGCCGCAACCGCGTGAGTTACGCTTCGCCGGGCTTCGAAAATTATGTTCACTTCGTAAACACATCTACGGTATATGTGAGACTTGATCGAAATCTCTACAATTCTTGCGACACGGGAAACGATATAATAAATAATAAAATCTCTAAGTGAAAATAACAGGAATTTTTCCCCAGAAAGTTATCCCGAAGTTTCGGTCGGTCATTAAATCAACGATCATCAAGAAAAAGGTGGATCCTACCACCTTCAAGCGAGAGTCTAGACACCTCCAATTTTTTCGTTGATTAGTCTAATTTATTTGGTAAAAAATTGTTTAATAAAAATTGTTTTAATAAAATGGCGGAACTGACGGTTGATAAGTAAAGGGGCTCTGCTTGTAATTAAATATTATTCTAAGATGGGGCAAAATAATGGGGAAAATAAATTTCTGAGAAATTAAAAATCTATATTTATAAATAGTATTATATATAATAAAATAGGAAAGTCACGCGCGCACACACACACACACACACACACAAATATATAATTTTTTATGAAAAAGTCAGAGATATCCGGACTTTTACATGAGGGACTGCAGTACGAATTAAATCGCCCGACGATAACTGGAGTCGACTACTCGCCTGCCAGCCGGCGACCGGTCCTACTACTCGTTACCGCTGCCGCTCGTAACTACGAATTCTCGCGCGGGCGAGCGGACAAGCGTTACGAATTCGTAACGAACGGCCGGACGCGAGCGAAAAATTAACGACCGGAATGTAGAATAACTGTTGTTGTATTCCCCGGTCGTAACACTTTGTTCACAAACAAATCGTTT